TAATAATTCAATTGCGCACTTATTTATGAACATCTTTAAAATATTTAAAAAAATAAATACTAACCTTATCAACCTCCCACCATGCAGGATAAAGTTTAGCTTGTCCATTAGCCAACACATATGATTACTGCCGTTGATTCTTCAAGTGAACTACGTGAAAAGACGTCGGCATAATTGTATATCGCGTATTTTTTTTTTATTTTTCCTCATTTTCCTTTTCATTAGAAGACGTGACACCCATGCATCAATATGTTGTTTTACAAAAAAAAGACATATATTAGTGAATTACATAAATTAAAAAAAATAATCAAAATGAAATATAAGAAAAATATAAGACTTGCCCCCCATCGAAATAGTCTTTGTCTTCAACCCCTAATAACACACCCCACCAAGACCGATCAATCAAAAAATGCATATCATCGTTGAGTTTGTATATGTCAGCGTAACACCCTGGCTCCGCTTATGTAGATAAAAATCACCTGCGGTCTTAGGCCAAAGGGTATTATCCAAAATTGTTTCCGGTAGTTTTCTCCTCTCCACTTCATCTGTCGGAATGGTACTGGCCGATAACTCATACGAAAGCCAACAGTCATCCATCATGTCCGGCACTTGAGAGGGTTTCTCAATAATTCGACATATTACGCCGTGTGAATCGGGCTCTTGAATGGTGGGAGGGACCTCTTCAACGATGACAGGGGCCTCTTGAACGGTGGGAGGGGACTCTTGAGGGATGATAGGGGTCTCTTGAACGATAGAAGAGGCCTCTTGAACGATGACAGGTGAGTCGGGCTTCTTCTTACGGAGTCTTCACACTATTGGGGTGAACGGAGACGTAATGGCACGTGCACGCCGTCTGATGCGTAAACCCCGTCGTGCAAGAAAAACTCGACGTAAAGCATCCACCTTATCGGGCCGCTAAAAATAAATTAATACATAAATCAGTAAATAAACAGACATGATATTAAACAGTGAAAACAAAGATAAATATGTTTCAAACTTGCACGATATTCACCCAAGTCATTATTCTATCATAGTTCACAAAATGTATCAGATAACATTCCAGAAGTAAGCACTTATATAAACATTTAAAAGGACAACATATAGGTTTAGTGCATGTTCAAGGACAACATAAAGAGTAGTAGTTTATTCTTGAAACTTAAATTTGCAACACTGTGAAGTTAGTATTTTTCTTTGTCTTTAGGTTGAAGTAATGCAATCCATTCAAGTTTCAATTTGTAGAAGAAGAATAGTTTCTGAAACTTAAAATCGCAACACGAAACTTAAAATCGCAACGCGAAAATGACTATCGCAATGCGGAAATGACTATCGCAACGCAAATTTGACTATCGCAACAAGATAATCGCAATGCGAAATAAAAATCGCAACGCGAAACCAAAATCGTAACGCGAAACTAAATTCGCGTTGCGATTTTTATTTCACATTGCGATTATCTTGTTGCGATAGTCAAATTCGCGTTGCGATAGTCATTTTCGCGTTGCGATTTTAAGTTTCGTGTTGCGACTATTCTTCTTCTGCAAATTGAAACTTGAATGGATTGCATTACTTTAACCAAAATACAAAACAAAGACAAATACTAACTTTACAGGGTTATTTTAGAACTGTTTAGCAGTATTGGCATCAACCGAATGAATTTACTAAGCAATCTAAGTGAAATGGTTAATCTAAGTGAAATTATGAGTAAATCAAGTTAAATATGAAAAATCTTAAACTTACCTCGTTGCGTAGAGTATGAACCTAATTCTGCAACGATGCTACCATCTCACGTAGAGCCGCTACCTCACCACGTAAAGTAGATACCTCATCACGCCATGCACCATTGTCATCGCGTAAAGTACCAACCTCCTCACGTAATACATTGACCTCATCACGTAACTCCCCTAACTCATCCCGTGGAGGTGGAGGTGAAGAACAGTGAGATAAATGTCGTGGCATCTTTGACGGTCGCCTATCATGAGGTGATGGTGAAGAAGAGGCTTGATGATGTGACGGAATAGGTGATGGCTCTCGTTGTAGAGGTGTATAGTGTGGTCGATCAGGTGATGGCTCTGGGTGAGGTGATGGCTCTCGAAGTGGAGGCTACTCATCATCCGTGCCATCAAAAAAACGCATACTAGCTTGCCACCAATCAGTGGCAAGCTCAGCCTCTGTAATGGAGTGTTGGCCTCCTAACAATATAAAAGCTCAAACAAAGTTAAACGTGTACTAGTAATAACTTGTTTATATATGGTAGTATTTGTGTTAACTTACATTATTTATTGTCGTATACCGTAGTAACTCTTCCCAAATCAACAGCCGGTGTTTCCTCTTCCAGGAAATATCCCTAGGAATATCATTTGAAGTTTTTAATGCATATGTCTGCATGTCAGGAAAAGCCTCAAATATCCAAATCTACAAACAATATAATACACAAACATTAGTAATTGTTAAATAATTAATTATAATTTTGGAAACATTATATAGAAATTCTTACCTTAAAGGCCCAAATAAAGCCTGACAAAGTGTATTTGGAACCATCGCCACGCAAACTTTTGCGGTCATCAAAGGCAGACGACAACTTATTCCAGGTAGCTTTCCATAGGTACGAACCCCACGGAAATAGGTTCCATGCATTTAGGTCCTCTACCAATAATATTAGGTCCTTAGGAATAGGTTGTCTGGCCTCTCTGCCTAAAAAGATGGCATGCAAAAGTACTAAAAGGCATACTCGAACAACATCGACGTCATCAATCCGAGTAAAACCATCTTTCTTATTAAATAATCTCGTCAAGTCGTCGACGTGTAAATTCGGCTTCTCCATTGATAGCTCAGAAAAAACTCAGGATAACCATGATGGGCGGGTAATATGACTAGTGTATCGACCTACATCATCGTGTCCGAAGCGTAGACCAGTGATTAAGCAAAACTCCTCCCGCCCAAAACACGTATACGCCGGTGGAAAATGAAACCATATCTCTTCATTACCACGTTTTATACTCTCGGGTAGATCGCTAGTCATGGTCTGAAGCCACAAATGGGTCAACATAGCATCTCCATCCGGATGTTGTACTTTCAGCCATGGCCCGAAGCAAGTATCCTCAAACAATTTTCTTTGTACAGGTGAAAGCTTCGACGCAATTGTAGTGACTAGGCTTATTTGATTCCTTAAGGTCATGAGCCGAAAAAAAAGTTCTGCAAAAACAATAAACATACCAAGTTAGATATACCAAAAACTACACTGTGAAGATATACCAAAAACGACACTGTGAAGATATACCAAAAACAATAATAAACATAAAGAGTAGTAGTAGTTTATTCTTCAAACTTAAATTTGCAACATTGTGAATTTCGTATTTGTCTTTGTTTTTTGGTTGAAGTAATGCAATTCATTCAAGTTTCAATTTGCAGAAGAAGAATAGTTTCTGAAACTTAAAATCGCAACACGAAAAATGAAAATCGCAACACGAAAATGACTATCGCAACGCGAATTTGACTATCGCAACGCGAAATGAAATCGCAACGCGAAACTAAAATCGCGTTGCGATTTTGTCGTTGCGATTTTCATTTCGCGTTGCGATCCTCGGTTTCAAATAGTTATTGTCTAAAATTGAAACTTGAATGAATTGCATTACTTCAACCAAAAGACAAAACAAAGACAAATACTAACTTCACAGGGTTAAAGACTAAATAGTTTAGCAGTATTGGCAGCAATCGAATGAATTTAATAAGCAATCTAAGTGAAATGGTTAATCTATTATTGAAATTACCAGTAAACTTATCATCAATTTCAATATGAAAAACCTAATAATAATGCAAAAATTTCAAAATAAAAATAATTAAAAAAAACTAACCCTCGGTGGTTGATTTGGTTGATTTTCCATTTCTGATCGTGAATGATTGTGAGGGTGGCTCTGAGAGATGGAGATAGACGGATTTCGCCGGAGATGGGGACGGATTTCGTCAGAGATGGGGACGGATGTCGCCGTAGAGAGTGAGAGATGGAGATAGGACTGAGTTGTGATTTAGGGTTTTAGGTTAAGAGTTACAATTACGGGATATATTAATATTCATGTTTGGAATTTGAAAATAAAATAAGTGTTGTGATACTAATGGCGCTTTGAAAATCGCAACGCAATAGTCAGAATCGCGTTGCGATAGTCAGAATCGTGTTGCGATTATGTATTATCGCGTTGCGATTATGTATTATCGCGTTGCGATAGTCAGAATCGCATTGCGATTTACATATTCGCATTGCGATTTTCTAAAATCGCAACGCGAATTTGGAAAATCGCAATGCCATAGTCAAAATCGCGTTGCGAATCTGGAAACTGATTTGCGATACTGGAGATCGTGTTGCGATTTAGAGATCGCATTGCGATTTTGTTGGTCATTTTGGCAAATCGAAAAAAAATTGGTCAAAATCGTATATTATAAGAAATTTTCGGTCAATGAGGTTATTTTCTCAAATTTAAATGCCACTAATTTGTTTTCATTGATTTTTTGTATAATCAACTACTATATTAACGATATAAAACATTTACACAAGATAAAAGTCACTAATTTTATTAAAATTAGAGAATTATTCAAATCAAAATAAATCTTTATAATTATAACTGTAAACTAAATAAATAATAAACATATTTTCCTATAATCATTTACAAAGAATAAGTTAAAAACCTAACTAAATAAACTAAAAAATCTATATATAGAAGATCATCCATAAAATAAGTACTTTGTGATTTTTAAATTTTATTGTTGAGTTTTTTAATCGATAAATTTTTCTCTAACCATAATTGAATTTCTAATTAGTATTGAAATGAATAAAACTAATTGAACAATTTATAAATTATGATTATATCAATCAAATTTAAATAGTCGTCGTACATGCAACTTCTGTAATATTTTAACATCGTGCATCTGACGATTAATACACTTTAAAAAGGTTTTTGATGATTTTACGAGACAACTTGCTTCGAAATGCAAACAATCAAACATAAAGGAGGTGTAGTTAAGTCCATTTCCTAATTATTTGCAAATGACATAGCAAGTACCAATCTCAAACATAGGGCAATTAACGAAACTACTACATCAAATACATCTGCTTTAAACTAAACGTTTCAAATGTTCATAATGGCTCCATTTGTCCGTTCCAAAATTACCAAAATATTCAACCACCACTCATTTTTTTACACTGCAGCAGCACCGTGCTTTGCCTTGGAGTGAGATTGTAAAGCATTCTCAGAGCCAAATGTCCTACTCCATGTTTTTAAGACAGATATATAATGAATAAGTTAATTGTGATTTGATTAAATAGTTGCTAAGAAGAAAGAACTGACCTGCCACAGGACTTGCAAGGGAATGAACCACCACCAGACTTTGGAGTCTGCTTCGCCTGAGAAGTAGCAGCTGAAGCTTTTTTAGCTTGCTTCGAGGGGTGAGGGGTTGCAGTATGTCCACCCACTTTCTTGCCATCTGCACCGAGGACTTGAAACTCTTTTAATGTAATAATAACAACAAAGAACAAGCCAGAATAGAGTGTTAGAAAAGAGGTAAGGAATGAATTGTAGTTACGACCCCTCATTAGTAAGTAGCAACTGATAGTCACGACCCATTAGAAAAGAGGTAAGGAATGAATTGTAGTTACGACCCCTCACTAGTAAGTAGCAACTGATAGTTACAACCCCTCATTAGTAAGTTCAAAATCAACATCTATAGAAAAGCAGAGATGGTGGTAAATCTACCTGTCTTTTGGGGAGGCTCTAGCTTCACCTTCTTTTCCGGAGCAGGGGTCTTCCTAGCCAGCTCTGCAGATCTCTTCTTGCTTGGTCCAGCCTAAAGCCAAACCATTCAGCAGTGGTTAGAAAAACAAAAGAAACGCTTCAGTGCTGAAGCTCCTTGATGTCCTGAATGACAAACCTCAAAGCATATATGCTTACCTTAAACAATTCAGGTGTCTCTTGATCCTCATCTGAACTTTCTTCTCCACTATCATCCTCATCACTGCCCATATCACTATGACTATCACTTTCCTTCTCACCATTAATTGGCATGCCAGGTTCCTAAAATAATAGTTCAGAATTACTAATTAATCACTGTATTCTAGCCCAATTAAGAAACAACAATAAAAACAACCAAATCAAAACACACTCCTACTAAGACCGAGCAAGAGAATGTGAAGACTCAATTTTGTGATATTCCAAACGGATAGATGCATTAAGATACATTTAAAACTATTTCCTTAATGCACCAGATGCTATTAACAGTGTAACACCTATTTCAACTATTTCAGCTTTATGATTTACACAAAACCAGAAAGAGGTTATTGGCTGGGAGTGATACTAATAGTTAGACATCTACCTGATCCTCACTGGATTCTTCATCCTCACCAGAAGTATCATCTTCATCCTCATCATCACTGCTAACCTCATCTTTTTTTGGTTCCACAATCTTAACCTGCCGTGATGCAGTAGGATCAGATGCTGTAGCCTGAGGCTTTGTGAGATTAATTGTAGGTTGTGGGAGCTCCTCTTCAGACTCGGTATCTGTAAAGTAGAAGTCGAAACATAGTTTTCAAATTCCAATAGTATTAAGAAATATCAAATTAACAGAAACTACTAGCAGAATCACTCACCACCACCTTGAGTTGTATCAACATAATACCCAGTGATATAGATACTACCACTTTTCCAGGTATGAGACAGTTCAAATTGGTCATGCAGCACCAAATCCAATGGTATCTGGGGAAATTTCTCTTGGGAAAGTGTTCCAATTAAAAACTTCTCATTTTTGAATTTGAGGTAGATACAAATGCTTTCGTCTCCTTTCTCTTTCTTTTTATCACCAGTCACCTCACCAAGAGCAACCTGCGAGTTATATAGCGGGAAATTTAATAAAGAGATGAAATCGTCAACAGTGAAATAAGTTTGGAAATCATAGTTCCTTAATAATAACCTGTGACAGATGCAGGATCCTACTGCCATCATTCTCCAATTCAACCTTAAATTTTTGTCCACTTTTAACCTCAGCACCTACACATATGCCAAATTTCACGATAAATGGACGGGTGTGGGTGTTTGAGGGGGGCTCATAATTCATTAGAACCGGAAACATTGAAAGAGACCGTAACAAGTGAAAACAATAAGAAATCCCAAATATGAATTTTAAAAAATAAACTACAATAAATTCTAAAAGATCCCACAAGGCAGTCCAAATCAGAGTAAACAAACCCTTAATATCACTACTATTAAATAACTATTCAACAAGAATATCAAACAAAGTTCAACCCCCCCCCCCCCAAAAAAATATGCATAAGCATTTCGTCAGAATAATAAATAAAAAAATTCGTTAAATAGACTAAAAATAAAACCTAGGAAACAATTCAAGCAATAAAATAAGTTAAAATACAGGGCAAAGTTTATTTTATTGTGCTAGAAATTCTATGCAATCTTTATTATCAGAAATAACCCGTAAAATTAATAAAGTTACTCTATATAAAAAGGAAGCAACAATCTACCCAGAAAGTTAATGAAAATGGGGAAATAAAGAAATGATAACACCAAATTTCAAAGAAAAATAATTAGAAAAAAGAAAAATCAGGAAGCAAACCAATCGAAAGAACATGCATGATGATAATTGATTTCAGCCAATTTGGTAACTAAAAGAAGAATGAAAAAATAAATAACAAACGGAATGAAATAATCACAAGAAGGAGAAAAGAGAAAATTACCCCAGAACTCCATTGCGAGAGAGTGTGAGAGAAAGTCTTAGGGTTTTACCGAGTTTTTTTAGATGAAATTTCCGACGGTGGGGAAGAGAATAGTGTACGCAGCAGTTTAACTTAAGAGTGAGGACGATGATTGGGTGTGATCTGGAGTAGCGCTGAACACTGTAAGAGGTTATAGGCGTCGTCAAGATGTTTGGGCTTTTGCAATAGAAGATGAAAGCTCAATAACATAGCATTTGTGATATGGGCTTTCTTCTGCACTCCGTTTTCTCCATCTAGAATATTTGGTAAACTACACGTTTAGTACTTAAATTATTACTTTTATTCTTTTTAGTACCAAAATTTTATATTTTTTTTAAAATCATACCTAATGTTAGGTTATATTTCATTTTAGTATCCCACCGTTAAAAACTTAACAGTGATGTTGATGTGTCATCATAAAGTAGTGCCACATCATTATTAAAAAAATAAAAGAAAATCACTTCATTAATTTTGTTATTTTTTTAACAGGAATGTATCAAATTAAAACTTAAACTAAATGTTAGGTCAATTTATTTTTTTTAATAATTCATAATTTATCATTTTATTAACTAGTGATATATTTTAAATTTTTTAAATTTTAAAAATAATATTTTTATTAGTTTAATTACTTTTAGCATTTTTATATTTAATTTTTTATATTTCATATTTAAATTATTTTTATTTTTTCCCTAAAAATTAAATAAGTCATAGAAATTTAAAATATTAATTTAGCCCACAAACTCGATAAAAAAACAATGGATAAACTACAAGATTGATCATTTTCGTTTAAGTTTTGTAGACTTTTCTTCATTAAATTCAAAAAACATAATATCTACTCACTTTTGTTTTTATTTATTTAAAATATGGTCATTAAAGGTTAATTATCGTTAGTCTTTTAATAGATTGTTGATGAGACACAACAAATATATAAAATTAAAAACAGTAAACTACACAAATGATCACACATAGTTGAGTAAATTTTCGTTTTTTCACTGAAATTTTAAAAGTAACAAATTAATCGATATCATTTTCCGGTATATATCCAAAAATGATCTTAAGTGAAATGGAACCCTACCGGCACAAAAGGAAACAATAGCTTTCTTTGTATGATACTGTAAACTTTCTGTAGTTTCAGTTGCCACTGTTGCGATGGAAAAGGTTTGCATTGGCTGCAGCAATCTGCACATACAGGTGTCTTTTCTCTTCTTCTTGTTCCTTTCTTTTCCCACTTTCCCTTAAAATTCCATAAAACCATCTTTTTTCTATATGCATTAGCTACAAAATTATGGCAAGCATGTTTGCTCACTATACTAATGAATTCATGTATCTTCTCGTTTGTGTTTGATTTTAGTCCTACAACTCATTTAATAATTCATGAACATGATCTATGTTTGTGATGGATATTGTGCGGGATATACCTGATATTGAAGGAGAAAATATTTAGTGAGAAGCATTCGGTTGCTACAGCGTTGAGGCTTTACAGCCTTAGGTTCCCACGATGAAGCGTATACCATTTGTCGCGATAGGCGTCGATCAAGACAACGATTTCGTCGTACGGTCAATAAACCACTTTGGGTTGGTGCTACGCAGTGACGGATCTAGAAATTAAAAAATAGGAGTCTAAAATTTTAATACCCTATTCTAAAAAAATTTGGATATGCAAATTTTCTTATTTTTTTTCTATTCCTATTAACAAATTAAACTAAATTTAACAATTTTCTAAAAATAATGAGTGTGCAATGGCTCCCCTAGGGAGCCATGTACATCCGCCCCTGGTGCTACGTGAAGGGTGGTTCACGTGAATATAGTGGAGATTGTGGGATGTTTAAAAAAAATAAAAATTAGAAAGTTTTAGAGACAAATTAGATATAAAAACATTGTTCAAAGACTTATTTGATGTTTTAGCGACCAATTTGTTCAAGGAATTATTTGATATTTTAGATATAAAATCATTGTAGTATTTTCATGCATGTGCAAAAGTCCTTACGTGAAACAATACTTTAGAACAATTACATAATGTAAATGGAGAGACGATCTATAAAATATAACTCAAATAGTTCTGAGATCAAATTTTATCATATCTTAGTTAACAAGTTAATGCCTAGTTCAGACGACCGTAAACTTTTTAATAGAAAATGATAAATTTAAAATATATGAATAGTTTGGTGACTATTTTATAACTTTTAATAGTCGAATACTCAACAAAGCAACTGCCTATAGCCGGAAATCATTTTATAACTTTTAATAGTTGAAAGACTCAACAAAATAATACTCTATAATCGAAGATCATTTGTGAACTTTACCTAGAACATTATTATATCATACCATATTAAATATTTATTTTAATTTTATATGATAAAATGATATATTTATAATCATATTTTTATTTGAATAATATAACTTTAAAGAGAAAATTGATATTTATTACTAAATCTATTAATTAAATGAGATTAGATGTAGTTTACCAAAATGAAAATGGAATTGATAATTTAAATAACGTAACAACTTTTTCAAGAAAAGTACACTGCACTTGTATAGAAAGAATGCTAAACACACCGGTAACTTTTGCAGTACGTATGTGACAGGTCACTATTGCAAAGCTGGAGGTACGTTAAGATTCCCTTCGCACCTGAGAGTCACGAGGGCGTTTCCGGTGACCTACACATTATTAACGGTAGGGGTGTTAGAAAAAACTGTAACGGTTAGTCGTAATAGTTAATCAATATAATTATTATATTTAATAATTTAATTAATTAAATTGTTAATGTTAAACGATTTTGATTAATCAAGCCATTAAAAGTAATGATTAACAGTTAAAGTTACGGTTATTAATTTTAATAAATGGTTAACCAATAATTAACCGTTAATAAATTAAATTTATAATTATATTGTAAGATGTATATATTTATAATATTGTAAGTATATGTTAACTATTATACTTTTTTAGTATGAATTGTGAAACTTTAAAATGTTGATGTTGTATTATTTTGAAAAATAATTGTAACAGGTTAACAATATGTTAATATGTAATTGAATCGTTAATAACAGTTAACTGTTATAACTAACTATTTCTTAACGGTTAAAAAATATTATAATCGTTATAACAATTAACCATCTATTTAAATTAAATAATATGGTTAACCATCCATTAGCAATACCAATTAACGGTACCGCACACGTTAAAGAGGGAAAAAGTTGAACGATGCCTAGCTTGGCGTTTGTGGAGTGTTTTAGCGGTTAAAATATAGTTTAAAATTCTGAGTAAAGTACACAAATAGTCCCGATTATAGGGCATCCAACGAAACAAGAAGGCTAGTGGTGGATTCCGACTATCCTTACGAGGGTTCCCAAATGTATTAATTATTATATTAGGGAGGTCCTCCGATCTAAGACATTATTTTATTGAGTTTTTTTACTATTAAAAATTACAAAATAATTATTAGATATAGGACGTTGATTTGTTGAGTTCCCTGACTATTAAAAGTTATAAAATGTTAAATTTACTATTCATATTTCCTACACTCGCCATTTTTCGTTAAAAAATTGACGACAATATGAGTTGGACGTTAACCTACTGATTGAGATATTCTAAAATCTTATCCAGCAATCTCAAACGACTATCATATATCAGATAACATATTAACGTCCAACTCAGATGACCGTCAATTGTTTTTACCAAAAAAGATGAATTTATAACATATGAATAGTTGGGTGATAATTTTGTAACTTTTAATAGTTGAGAGCCTCAACAGATCATCATCATATTGTTAGAGGATCATTTTATAATTTTTAATAATCGAATACTCAATAAAGTAGGGCCTTACAGTTGGGGGACCATTCAAAAAAATTTCAATGAACTAGTTTTTAAAATATATTTGTAAATTTTAATTAATTAAAATATTTAATTAATTTCAAAGTTTAAAAAGTTATATATATATACACACACATGATGTTTTAATTAAGACATATGTAGTTTGAAATTTAAATAAAAATTTAATGAGTCAATATTAAAATTAATATATAATTAAATTTAATATAATTTTAAAATGCTTAATTTTACTCGTAATTAAATACAATTTAACTATAATATAAATTTTCGTTGTAACTAAATTTTAATTATTTTAATGAAAAATGAAAAAATAGAAAAACAATAATATGGTATAATTATCTTTGTATTTAAAATTTACACAAATAGGGGTTAGTGTAATTTTAAACAACTAATTTTTTTTACATAAAGAGGGGTTAGTGTAATTTTAAACGAATTACAAGTGTAAGCATTTTTTGTAGTAGGGGTAAACTACGGATTTAGTCACCTAAACTATTCATGTGATTTCGTTTTGGTCATCTTATTTTTTTCTTTCAAAATCATACCTAACATTATATTTTGGTTTTATTATGGTGATATGCCGTTAAAAATTTTATGATGTTGCAGACGTGTCATAATAAGATAATGGCACATCATCATTACAAAAAATAGAAATATCACGTTAATAATTCTCTTATTTTTTAACGGTGGATGACCAAAATGAAACCAAACCGTAACATTAAGTATGATTTTAAAAAATATAATTGAGTGAACAAAACGAAACTGTTCGAATAATTAAATGACTAAATACATAGTTACCCTTTAAAGTAGAGGGGTAAGTGGAATTTCCATCAAAACTTAATAAATTTTAGTAATTTTACATAGTAATTATTTTTTTGGGATCAAATTACATAGTAATTATTTAGTAAAAGTAGAATAAAGAATAATTATTTATATAAATCTCTTCTTCTTTCACTAATGCCAATCCTTTTACACATTCAATCCCTAAACATTTCAGAATATTGTAAACCTCATTTGGCTGTTCTTATTATCCACATTGACAATACTTTTTTTAACCGTCATTCGAATATGCATTAATAAGCTGAAAAATTAAGAAATTTCAATGAACCTGAAATTGAAGATGTAGAAAAGGGGAAGTCTAAACAGCGGCCTTCTAATTTAACATTGAAAACGGCGATTGACAACTATCGTTTCGGTGTCAAAATAAATTTCGTATTCTTAATAAATAAATAAAGGAAATACGTAGTAAAGAGAAGTAAGAGTCGATTCTACAAGGACTTAGAAAATTATAAATTTCTGTCT